TTCATCGTCTCTTGATTGTTTAATATGTAAACAGGGTTGTTCTCATTGTGATTTTAAGAATTATTCAGCTCGCCTTTATTCTGTTAGACTAGCAATGGTATAGAGGCTGTCTGATACTGGTAGGTGACTATTTCAAAACAGCACACTTCCCTACAAACCTGACGTGACGTTTATAACCAATCTGTTATTCCAACAACGTGTAGGTTTCCGTGATGAGTGCATGCCTCCTTTTTGCTACCAAAGGTCCCATTCACTGGTTTAGGCAATTCCATTCTGCTTACTTTTATTCTGTATTTAGCTTAACACATTCCATTGGTAGGTGTGTGGAATTGCACTGTCATTTTCGTTTACATAATTTTAAATTTTAGCTAAGCTTTTATAATTTTTGACAGCGTTTAGTGATATGGACGTGTAATAAAGTTGATGTGGACCTGTTCTGTGAGCAGTTGTAATGTTAGCAGAACAGATATGGAGAGAACAGATTGTACGGAATGAAGGCGTGACATATTTGTGTGCATCCCTAAATAACCAACGACATCGGTCAGCCTATCCTTACATATCAGATTTCATTTGAAACATATTTCAGCACATTCATTTAATAAACTTACGTTTTGGATAACCAAAATCCAAATAATTAGGTTCTTCAAAACACATTAATGGTGAAAATCAAGCTGCTTTCAGCAACACAAAAGATCTTTAAAATACTCTTAATTAGAGATATATATAAAATGACGGTACTCCTATGAAACCTTCAGTGTCTGATGACGTAACGACACGGTAGAACATGAGTTTAATGGGTCATGGAGAAAGTGATATTTTGTGTTATCTATGGACACTACATGTCAGCAACTGTAGCCATCATTAAAAACATACATTACATACATTCTCGTGATATCTAATACATGAATACTTCAGTTTGCTATGCGGGAGATGTCTAATTTTAGAGATCATTTGCAAAAACTGATCTCCTGCAATCTTTTTTCATGTCCAAAAAATATGAAATCGGACCAGTACTTTAATACAAAGTGAACATGTTTACAGGTTTATAGATACGCATGTTACTCAATACCAGACATCTATTTCGAAACGTCCTCACTATTTCGCTGTACATTATATAAATGCAAATAGACGACATTTCATGGTGGATGAATTGTTGAATTGAAAAAGCACAGTTAAATGAAAATCCAAAACCGAATTTCTTGTATCCTCTCATAGATGTATCAATATAAGTGCATTCTCAATATATACATGCAGTTTGATTTCCCCCCGTAAACTGCATGCTGAAGAATCGAGTTTCGAAGATTCTGAGTATTCAATTTGCAAAGTCTAATTGCTAAACCAGAACAGCCTCTTATAGGTTTGATAAAAAAAAAACATGGATTGAAAGGCAACATTCTGATTTGTTGCGACAGAAATATGAACCATCAATCAGAAATGTTGTGTCAAAGATTCACTGCTTTCAGCAAAAATAGCATCCAGACAAAGCAAAATTGAAAGCGTCTTATTTGCAATATGTACATGTACGTGATGAACCATCAAGTCGCTTGTTACTAACTCGTCAATAGGGAATGTTTGGTAGAGAACTGGTCTAGAAATATGTAGTCCCGTGTTCGATTCCAAACGGAGATACATGTACAACACGTAATAACAACAAACTTAACTTTTGAAACCGTGACATCTCAATCATCGGTCAGAGTAATGGGGCTAGAACTGTGCCGCTGACTAACGTTATACTGTTGTACAAATAATCTTTTGCTTAGTTAAATGAACTCGTAGAGCTGAATGATTGTCTGGACGTAGGTAATAGCAGTATTCGGACTATAGGGTCCTTGGTGTATCAAGAAAGATATAATTGTAGAAAGTTGTTGACATGTTTTTTTTATTTACTTATTGTTTGTGTTCATTGTCTCGATACTGTCTTATCTCATCTTATCTTGACAGGTTGTAATGTCTAAAACTCTCCGTTACACACCAAGGAATACGTCTCGTGTTGGCTGCAACTATCCAGCTATCATTCCCGCGGGTATTGGTTATCTCGAGTTTAAAGTTTCACCAGATAAAAACTCCCAACCATAAACATTTTACATATCTCTTACATTGGATCCTTCTTTGATCACAAGATTTGATTTTACACATTTTTTATCGCGAGATATAAGTAAAACATGTAATCCCTTTCCCCAAAATAAGGACGCGTGGAAAACACATTTTCCACATACAAATAACGTCCCGGTATCGTCTAAAACTGACATTTTATGCATATTTTGTTGAGACATATATAAGAAAAAAATCCTTTATTTTACATCCGATGTGGGTTTTGATTTGTATACAAGTGTTTGTTGTTGTTTAAATTATAAAATAGACACAGAACAGGTCTGTTTAGCCTGCTATCATCCGATACCGTACACTTATATCATCTCCTTGCATAGCATCTTCTCTCAGACATTATGGAAAATGTAAAAACCTGTGCATGTTATGTTTCAAATTGATAAGACGTTGTTATCAAGTCGACATATCGTCTTGTTTTAAATGCATTCTGATGATAACGTATTACATGTCAGTAGTAGAGAATCCCATAGTGACGTTCGCCTGTTGACCACAATCTACAGGACCCAACTCACCAACAGTGTATTTACATATTATGTCAGTAGTAGAGAATCACATAGTGACGTTCACCAGGTAACCACAACCTACAGGACCGAACTCACCAACAGTGTATTTACATATTATGTCAGTATTAGAGAATCACATAGTGACGTTCGCCTGGCTACCACAACCTACAGGACCCAACTCACCAACAGCGTGTCCTATATATCATTTCAGTAATAGGGAATCCCATAGTGACGTTCGCCAGGTTACCACAACCTACAGCACACAACTCACCAACAGTGTATCCTATATATCATTTCAGTATTAGAGAATCACATAGTGACGTTCGCCTGGCTACCACAACCTACAGGACCCAACTCACCAACAGCGTGTCCTATATATCATTTCAGTAATAGGGAATCTCAAAGTGACGTTCGCCTGGTTACCACAACCTCCAGGACCCAACTCACCAACAGTGTATCCTATATATCATTTCAGTAATAGGGAATCTCATAGTGAAGTTCGCCTGGTTACCACAACCTACAGGACCCAACTCACCAACAGTGTATCCTATATATCATTTCAGTATTAGAGAATCGCATAGTGACGTTCGCCAGGTAACCACAACCTACAGGACCCAACTCACCAACAGTGTATTTACATATTATGTCAGTATTAGAGAATCACATAGTGACGTTCGCCTGTTGACTACAACCTACAGGACCCAACTCACCAACAGCGTGTCCTATATATCATTTCAGTAATAGGGAATCACACAGTGACGTTCGCCAGGTTACCACAAGCTACAGGACCCAACTCACCAACAGTTTATCCTATATATCATTTCAGTAATAGAAAATCGCATAGTGACGTTCGCCAGGTTACCACATCCTACAGCACCCAACTCACCAACAGTGGATCCTATATATCATTTCAGTAATAGGGAATCACATAGTGACGCTCGCCAGGTTACCACAACCTACAGGACCCAACTCACCAACAGTGTGTCCTATATATCATTTCAGTAATAGGGAATCACATAGTGACGCTCGCCAGGTTACCACAACCTACAGGACCCAACTCACCAACAGTGTATCCTATATTTCATTTCAGTATTAGAGAATCACATAGTGACGTTCGCCAGGTAACCACAACCTACAGGACCCAACTCACCAACAGTGTGTCCTATATATCATTTCAGTATTAAAGAATCATATAATGACGTTCGCCAGGTTACCACAACCTACAGGACCCAACTCACTAACAGTGTATTTACATATCATTTCAGTAATAGGAAATCTCATAGTGACGTTCGCCTGGTTACCACAACCTACAGGACCGAACTCACTAAGAAATAAATATCTACAATTCTTACTTCAATTTACTCAACTCGACGTTGCTTCAGATGTGATTCTCTATTTTCACTTCACTAAACTCGCCGAGTCTCCAAATGTGATCCCCTACTTTACAATGAAATCAACTCACCGAGTATTCACATGTTATTCCTTAATTAACAATGATCTGAACTCGCCGATTCTTAGAAGTTGATCATCTATTTACAATTATGAACACAACCTTGTTTCAGGAAAATACATAATGGATGGTTTTCATTGAATTCACTTGTCGTGAAGAATGTTCTTTTTCGTTGGGATATGTGTCAGATTCGTGCATGTTTACCTAGGCTGAATCTATGAGCTAAATAACTTGAGAAATCGTGAAAATAGGTTCGATATCTTCTACACTGTATAAAGGTATAAATTGAAATCTTTCAAAAAGGTTGCAAAATTATATTTTAAAACACACAATCACCGTCCTCAGTCAGTAAAAGTATAATAATTGTTGTTCTCATCCTTCGTTTGATCAATATAAAAATGTATGATGTACCAGTAATGGTCGACAGTAAGCTAATAGGGCTATCCAAAGGTTTCTTTTAGCGTAGTGGCAAATAGATAATATACTTCATGTAAAACTCTATACAAGATATTGCAAGATCAATTTTCACTTCATGCTTTTGGTATAAACCGCTATTGCATGCACTAATTTTCTCCAGAGGTCATACACGTTTGACCCCCTACGGTTCACTGTTCGCATGTTCATCCGGGCCCAGTTGTTCAAAGGGTGGTTAGCTTAATCACTGTTTAACGACATTTTTCAAACTTAAATATTTCCGTCAATAAACAAGATAAAATGTCACAATTCTGCATGTAAATTCACTCTACTAAATATTTGATATCTGGAAAGTTGTAACCAATTCGGTTGTAGTGTTTTAAAGTTACACGAAAAACAAATTGTGCTCATCACTGATTAAGCTAATCCCCTTTTGAACAACTGGGTCCTGGTATCATAAAACGATCAAAACATGTTAATCCGATTGTAAATGACGATGACGTTTGTTATTAATCTGGATCTTTCAGACGCCGTGTATGTCCTGTGACGAAGCTGTTCAATCAAATCGTTCCTATGAAGCAGACATACAAGAAACCAGTATATCATTCCAACTGTCGAAGTCTCGGCATACCGTGTAAGGGCAAAAAGTAAGTAAATTCCAGCTACTAGTATTAGCCAGAAACTATTTATATTGACCAACCAATCAATCACTTAAAAGATCCCCAAACTGTAATAAATATAAATGGACGAAAAATATCTTTTAAAGCTTATTCTACTTGTACTTTACCTTTCATTTTGTATAATTTTGTGTAAATTGTCTTAAATAAACTAGTCCATGTGTAGTGCAATTTTGCGAATATATCAGTTTCATTTAAAATCATTCCTCAACAAAGCATTCCCTGCATAGGATAGATTCGAACACAGACAATGTCGCACGTTTCATCCGATGCACGCCGACTGTTATCAGCCCTGATCACGTGTCTGGTGTAGTTTCTGGTTTACCCCGGCGTGTCACTGTGTCAAAGTGAACAGTGCCTTTTAAGTTTTATAAGTGACACCGGAAGGATACAGGAAGACCTTTTCACTCCTCACCGAGCATGATAAGTTTGTTACTAGGTCAAGAGAGCTATCATATATACAATGATACCTACTTGTGATGCTAAATTGGATATTTCCATTGACGCTTACATGATTACGTCATGGTTGTTCTGCGCTATAGCACTAGACCTAACATGTAAATGGTCCATTTATTTTGCGAGCTTGCGCATTTCTTGTCAAATCTAAGTACCTTATTCTTCTAATCGAACTGGTCAAACACGAGACCTATATCTCATACATACTGTACTAGCGTTTACAAGGAATTAGGTCAAGGTCGTAGGTATTATATGCGGTGTGGTTTTGCCAATTCGGAATGTTTAAATTGGCGTGCTATATTATTGTTAATTATCTTCTAGTATGTGTAAGAAGATTTCTCTTGTCAGCCCTAAATGATAAACTTTTCAAACTCTACGGCAGTGTAAACTAGCGTTCAATAAAACAAACTATGAACTTATGTAGTTACCCTCTACTTATTTGAGTATATCCTTGATTACGTGACCAAAACATGTTCCTGTCCAGGTTACTCTATAAGACGGCCACGAGGACTGTGTTTTATCGTCGGATGATTCACGACACCGTCCGGATATGCTGTCCTGGGTGGAAGCGGCAAAACAGCCGTCGCCATCTTGGCTGTATGGAACGTAAGTACAATTTGTGACATTTTATTGAATGTTTGTTATTTAAGACAATAAAACTAATGCTTATTACATTTCTGACAACTGTTTTGCTTTTTTTAATTGTAGCAATTTGCTCAGGGGGTTGTCAAAATGGCGGAACGTGTGTTGGCCCGGAGCAGTGCGCATGTCTGAAGCAATTTACAGGATCCTCTTGTGAACGAGGTAACACATCGCCCAAAACTTGGGCTTGTTATTTACTAGCAACAACGTAGAGTTAGCATGTGAAGTAATAATATAGTGATCACGTAGCTGAATTGTGAGATACATTTTTTTATCACCTACCTGTTGACTCTTGTTATAGTAATACAAGCAATTTTCAGACCATGAAATACAACGTTCTGTTGCACTCGTGAATAAATTCGTCCGCGCAATAAACTCGTGCTTTCTGATTCGTTAGAAAAACACAAGTGTGTGGTCTTGCATTTGTATAAATCACAAGAGAAATATGATCCTTAAACAATGGATTGATGATGGGCCTCTTTTTATTAATAAATAAATTTATTTGTTCATTTTTAATCCTTCACTTATTTTCCAAATTGTTAATTGTAATATAGAAGTCGGTAATATGTAATTCTTACTGAAATCCTCATTAAATTAAAAGTGTTAACGGCAATTTTGTTAACTGTTTGCCAACACAATGGAGGCAGAGCAGGAATCTTCACCAACTACAGTGGTTGATGCTCCTATAAAATGATTCTCAAAAAAATCAGAAACATTTTCACTTCAATATTCGTGGGGGGGGGGGGGGGGGGGGAAGAAACTATCAATATATTCCCTAAAACACTGGCTAGTTATCGAGACAACTAATTTAGCGGTACACGGGTTACATGGGTCGATTGTGGTGATGTGTATATCATTGACCACTTTCTTGTTTAATATTTTATAATACGTTCATCTCTTACTAAAGCGGTTAAAAAATTATATAACAAAATAATAATGAAATATGAATACGATTAAACGGTTGTAATTCTTGTATATAACTGAAATGTAAATGTTACGTAATTCAGGAACATGTAACAAAATGCACCAAATACATATTTTATAAACATATGTATACACACATATATATATATATAAATAGAATTCGATCCCTTTCATTTAACCAGAATATATTTCCGGCTCAATTAACGCTTAACTTATAAAGGAAAGTGTGGGTTCTTGTTATTGAAAAAACGCCTTTTCCTTTGAGGACAACATATCAACATGGTGCTTATATAATGGCGTCTATAAATATTTTCCGATGAATAATTGATAATAAAACTGCCGATTACAGCTTCACAAGTGAAGCGTGGGCTGATGAAAGAAATTAATTCGAATACATTAAGTTGGTGAAGAGTTGAAGCACTCCTGGTACAATGACCACTTAAGCCGGTAAGAGTCGTGCTAAGAGGTTTTATATCCGAGAAGTTGATCCTTATAGCGAGGTCCCAGTGGGTAGAATCATTCTTTACAATTCCAACACAAAAAAATCTGTTCCAGTTCTCTTAATGTATTAATCTTTTTTTGGTTCTGAAATGCAGATGTAAAGTGGGGTTTTCGGCTTTCTATAATGAGGTTTTCTAAATTCAGAAAAGGAGATAAGCCTAGATTGCGGAAATGATGTCATATTTCTAATTTTGAAAAGCAAACAACGCCGTTTATAATAAGGTTTAACGACCAAAAAGTATACAGTACTATGTCTGATAATGTAACTGATTATTTAAGAACAGCCAAGCTGCTGAAATAGTGAAGAAATGTCATCAGCCTTTCAAGCAAGTCCTCCGATAACATAAACCAGAATGATTTGAAAAACATTCTTCCGGAGGCTTAGAATGAGATAAAATAAAAACATGGCTACATATGGACGTCATTCTTATAACTTTGCTCATGTACTCTAGCGCCATTTGTTTGTGTAATTGTATCACAAACACTGTCTTTGTCAGCCTCGAAGTGGCAATTCATCCAAGGATATGCTTGACGCCGTCTGTGTCGCGGTCGGGTATTACACAATTGGACTTGTAAACAAGCAACTTGTAACAAGCAGTTCCGGTAAACATTAGGCTACTTTACTTTGCTAAGTACGTATTCATTATATACCAGCTGGCACTCGTTGTTCTAATCTGCGTCGTCCGTGTTTATTCTCAGAGGGAAGTACTTCTAAGTTGATTATTGTTATTGAATCTCTCCTCAGTCCTAGAGCTCGTTTGCCAAAATGTATTACGTCGTTTGATGTCCCCAATGTCTTTATTCGTTATGCAATACACAGAGGATATGGAACGGATGCCAATTGACAATAATCGATATTGTTAATTCATAATTTCTACAGAATATCAATATGCGAATTACTTGTAAAAACATATTGAGGAATTCCTTGATGCTATTGAACCTGATATTGCTTGCAATGGAAAATACTAAATATCAATTGTTTTCGTATTTTTGTGACTTAAAAATAATCTATTCATTTAAATATACACAAGGTCTGATGTCATAATAGATTTCGCTATGTCACACGTTAATGGCAGCGCCTTATTTGTTGATCTAGACAATGTCATTCCTCTAACTTGCATTTTCTGGATGTAAGGCCACACAGTCCGTTGATTAGACGTATGGAGTACCACATACGGTCAGGAAACGTACACCTTTCTCTAGCATTTATATTTACGGTGATCCATGATGTCTTTCATTTTGTTTCCCTTTCTCCCTTCTTACTTCTTGAGGGGTTTTTCGTATCGAGTTGAGCTCATATTTCGTGTTGAGTTGTACATGGCAAGTAATAGCCTGATTCCTTAACTCATCTCAGCTGAATCTTAACAAACAACGACCGTATCCTTTTTGCATTCTGTTCTGTCTTCTTTTTTATTTGTGCCTTTCTTGGCTCAATCATAAAAGTGTTATATGTATCAGCGAAAATGTATAATATCCCAAGTTGTTGTGAAAAATAGCAAATCTGTTTCTCTTTTTCCTATATTTCACTGCTGAATGTGTAATGAGTACGACACCAGAACTAACAGACTACACTGATGTTACACACAGAGGTTTCATAAAAATATTCATCTACAAAAAGACCTCAGGAACATCATGGACTCCTAAAACAAAAACTTAGCCAAGTTACATGTATATAGAGGTATAATTACTCCCACGGCCACGTGGGGTACCCGAGATTATGTCTTCAAATCCTAAACAAGTTACACACGGATACATTGTTATTAACATAGTACAATAACAGGACACACTGAAGTCTCGTGATAGCAAATCATGTCGGCTCAGGTGAGCTCGGTTATTATTATTGATGCAAGGATAGTTGATGGCGATGGGATTATAAAGTTATCAGACTCAAACAATCGATGAAATTGAGGTCAGTATTACAACACCTACAACTCAGTACGTTACATCAGAGTACATTGGTCACTGATTTTGTATTGGGCCTAGCTATCAATTACACAAATCTCAAACTAGTTTCTCGACAGATATAATGTACGTTGTACAGATTAAATGTCTGGTCTTCTTCCCACCGCAGGCGGTATCATTACACGGAAATAAGGGTAATATTTAAGTGCACATCCTGCCTAACATTGTATGATACGTCACGAGGAAATTAGTAAAATTACACAGGACGGATTGTTTATAGTGCTTCCTTCCTCAATAGTTTTTCTCCCTTAACTCGATGATAAAAATGTCACGACATCGTTTTTAAGAACTGTATGAGATGACTAAATGAAATGTGAATACACATTATTTGAAGTAAAGAAATAAAAGAAATATTCCAATTATCATATCATTTCAAAGAAAATTTAACAACGTTTCCTATATATAATCTCTCAGAAGACTATTGGTTTTAGTACAATTTTGATATCACTTCCAGTCGTTACATGTAGTAAACTTGTCGGTGTTTCCTGTTGTAGATGTGGACGAGTGTTTGATGAAAACACACACCTGCCAACACCTGTGTAATAATACCTACGGGAACTACGAGTGTGCCTGCTACGACGGCTTCCGGCTGACAGAGGGAAGGAACTGCGTGTGTGAGTGATTGGATGTCGTTGCATAACTTCTCAATTATCATCAGATATATTAGAAGTCTGAAATAATGAAGATTTTTTTTAAAATATGTTTTCAAATGAATAATTGTAAACCTTACCGTGTCGGTTCAAAAACTTACTTATAATAATAATAATATACAACATTTATATAGCGCCCTATATAGTTTGTAAACTTACTCTAAGGCGCTTTACAACAAATGAATACAAATATTTCTACATAATGTAGTTATGTAATAGATAAAAAAAGGGGCATATAAATCAGTAGTATACATAGATTAAGTTACAAGACAATTGTCTCAATATGCATATAAATGAATATATAAAGGGCGATGTGTAAATGACATCTGTGTGAAGAGTCTAAATGCAGACGTATCGTGTTGGGTCTTTATATCCTTCTTGAATTTAGTCAGGGGTTTTGACTTTCTGATACCAGATGGTACACTATTCCACAACGTGGCCGAAACCCTCCCCAAAACCCAAATATACTATAAACTATAAGACTTATAGATCCTTGATCAAATGTTCTTTTATAGATTTTCCATTTTTTAGATTTTGAATAGAGAGCATTCGTGACCTGGTGTTCCTGTTCTCGAGTGCCATATATGTGTGAACGCAAAATTTATGCAAAGTGAATGTACAACGAAAGCAAAAGTATATCGGGTCCAAGAAGTGGCAGTAGCTTTCCCGTCGATGTTTGTTGACTTGTGTTGTTGCATAGCCTTTATCTTAGACTCTGTGGGGTTTAAATTGGCCTTGTAGCATGTTTATTAGCATTTCGATGACTACAACTCATGGTGTTGTCGTTCTAGTTTGTCCGCTTTGTAATCCAGCCTTTGAGGAAATGATGAACAAAGTCAATGACCTCCAGACTAGGGTCATATTCGTGGAAAAGGAGAAGGTAATAAACTTCATCTACTGAGTTTATTGATAAATAATGTCTTTCGTTCATTTCAAATAGATTGTGAACATTTGATGTAAAGTTTTGTTTACGTTTCAAATATTTAAAACGATCCAGTTTTTGTTGTTTTTTTGTCTCATTCGCTTTTTGCTACCTCAATCGCATGTTAAGTTGAGTTTGGTATTTACTAACATATCAAAATCCGGTTCATTAATTTACAATCTTCTGTCAACAGGATGACTTGCGGGGTAATTTAACTCTGCTGGAAGGTCGATACGAGCAGACTATCAACATCGTGGCGGAAGTGAAGCAGGCAACCATAGGAACGCGCACAGCGCCACCTACATCCACCACAACCACTCCCGCACCAACAACCACGCCCACCTCCACAACCACTACCGCTCCCACAACCACGACCACCACCGCTCCCACAACCACGCCCACTACCACAATTGACCCATTTGACCAGCCATATAATGACGTCGGCTATCTAATAAATTCTCTCAGCGAACAGATATCTCTACTAGAAGAGCGAATGGCGGACTGTAAGAAATTTTACATAGTTTTGTCATGCGGTGAAATTTGAGAAATTAAAATGTGTTGCAGAAATATGCAAATGAATAGGGCGACAGCTTATTCTTTCTCAAACAATACTGCCCCATAAACAAACAGTTAATTAGCTTTCCGGTTTACAGCTTCTGAATATACCTACCCACTCTAAATGCTGTAATCAAAGCATAACACTTAAGAACTATAACACGCAGATTTTTCCATTTATAATCTGTTCGGGTTTTTTCGTCCAACAGACACTGGCGGAAATTCCCGAACGGTTTCCAGTTGACGTTTATTGTTAACCATAAAAAGACACAACCTTATTCCCGCAAAAATATTATTTTGGTAAACTTTGTATTTCAAATATATCACCAACAAAAAACGAAAGCATTCAGAAAGTCCGTAAACTGTCTTAAAAGTATATTTGAATGTAGGTAGTCAAAGTACTTTGGGGGTCGTGGGAATAGAGGATATTTAATGGTGTCTTCAGTAATACCACGGACTCAATCTAATTCCGTGGTAATTAAGGAATGACCAAGATTTTGTTTTGGTATATACGGTATATACCGAAAAGAATTTGTGCACTTTGCATAAATACGCGAAGCGTAAACTAAACAATTGCGCTAAAAAAAAGCTGCGTTGTAATTTTGCATTCTGAAGTGTAAAAAGTAGTTCCGTCATCGGTTGTTTTTCTTTTAGGTATATACGATATATACCAAAAAAAATATTATTGGGGAGATAGGAAATTAAATTATTACCAAATATATTTCACGAGTGTGGCTAATATATTTATGTAAATACTTAAGTGTGTGCACCAAACTTTTACCATAACAACCACGTATTCTACCGTCGCTTCCTTTGAATCTGAACAAAAAAAAGTTGCCTTTGAATGCAGCGAATAGAAGCTACCGTTATGATTGGTCAATACCAAGAAGTGATATTTTCACAGTGTGAAAGATGTTAGTTTTATCAAGTTGATAGAATCCGTTATTTCACTGACAAACATGTAATAAATCATAGTAATAGAGGGGAAATATAACCTGAGATAGCCACAGTACAGAGTGCGTGTGATATATCCCTCCGCGAACTACTTTCACTGTCAGCCTACCTCAGGTAACATTAGGGATGAACTTACTTCCTTTTGCGTTACATTCTCTATCAGAACAGACAGTCCCCTATGCTTAACGTGGTTATTTTCTGTTGACAGGTGAATGTACACAAGGTGGACGAGGACGAGGTTATGACAGTAGATACGGTTACAACAGACCTCGCGGGGGCAGACACAGAGGGACCATTGAAAAGTAGTTATACCTTCACTATCAAGACCTGCTGGGAACTCAAAACAAAGAAATGTCAAGAAGTAAAACTTCGAAGAGGGGATGATTCGAATTTTCAAATGAAGAAGGGACTTATTTGCGTTGAGAACCGTCACGTGATTCCATTCCTATGTCACATATTAAACTCCTGATGTAAAATCTCCACCAGTTTAATGACGCAATATTACGTTAACTACTTGCATCCTTATTACTACGTGGAATCCATTGGTCATGCTCTAGGTATTCTGGAAACAACAGTGCTTGTACTTTGAAGATAACCAGAAGAGCTACGTATACTCCGCGATCAAAACCGGTAACTTATACTTACCCTGATATAATCCTTACTTAAAGTATTGCTCTTGAAAACCACGGGTATGCAAGATGATTCTGTAACAGTTTCAAGATAGTCACATCGTATCATCCACAAGGTGACGCGTACAGAGATTTTTATTCTTTTCTTTTTCTTTAAGAATTTATATTTAGAGTCGTATATGTTGTAATGGAAACATTAGCTCTGTAGCGCTATTTTTACGACATTCTTTGTCAAAAATCCCAAAGGTACAAAAAGATATGTGATAACGGAAGCGGAACCCTTAGATTTTAAAGAAAGCGGAACTTTATCTTCTGTAAAAAGAAATAAGCTGCCCCACACAAACTGTTAGGTCGATACTAATTTGAGTCTCTCGAATCGACCCGTGTGTGATCTTCGGCTAGTCTTGTGGCAGTACTGTTCGACATCGTCTCAACAGGGGCCTGTTCGTTTATGCGGAACAACCGGTTTGTCTGTCTTTAAATGTGACATTTTCGGGTATATATCATGGCGAAGCTGCAAATGTTTATGTAGGCTTGGTCCGCCTGAAAGTACATGTAGCTTCAGATTACTATGACCGATCTTATTTCATAAACAAACAACTCTGGTCGAACCGATTCAACCGTTTGGACCGCGATAAACGAGAGCGGCCCTGGATTATTGTGTTAACATTTTATGTCTTTTGTACAAATCAGCAAACGATATGATTTTTGTTCTGAAGCATCATTTATGCTAAAACAATTGCACCTCAATGTCATTCGTTCATTTTCAAAGCACAGTCATAACTATACTAGTTAGTAAGTAAGAATTTTACAGAGACTCCATTATGACAGAAAATATATATAATCCTGCTTTTCGAGAGTACTCTATGCAATCAATTAATTATTCCTCACTAATCCACTTTTTTAAAAACGTGGCCTTCAGTCTGTAATATTTACAGTGGGTCAGTGACGTAAGTAAATTTGACACCAGACTGCGATAAGCAACAATAGTAATGATATGTTATTGTTCGATCTCTTTATGCCATTTTTATAATAAGATTGCTTCATATTCGAATGTCTTCTATATACAGATATCTTATTTATTATATTACTGTGAATTTTTTTAAGTGTTATACAGTGAAACCCCGATATATTGCCACTGTTTGTTTTTAAAGTGAGGGAGATGTGTAAAGGAAATATTTATAAATGCTCTCACAGAAATTGAATATGTCGAAGTTTAACGAAGTTATGGATTAAACAAATGGCTTTATATAGAGATTCTCCTAAAAACAGTGTGTGTATACTGCAAAACGGTAAAATGTTGCTCCCTTTCTATTTCGCCATTTGTAGCCAAAACAAGAAAGTGTCTTCAAAACGGAGTCAAACATTTTAAAAGTTGTTTCGAAGATTATGCTATAATGTTCAACCTTCAACGTTTTGAATTTGTTGGTTTAGAAATGTTTGAGGAAAATATTAGGGAGCGACAAATACTACCGTCTACAGTATGTCTATAACTTTACGATAGTTATTATGCGTATAATTTGCCTGTGAATACACTTGTTTCTCATGCTACCAAATATAGTATTATGACTCTCACATGATACGTATAATTCATGTATATGATGAGTCTCATCATTTCACGTCTTGTTTTTATAAGTGGTGAATGAGAATTGTCGTTCGAACGAAATTAATTTTATTATGAGAGTGTAGACTGGGAGTGTGAGGGTAGATAACCACTTTTGTATATTAGAATCACTTACCATTTGATGGGGGCACTATGTTGTCACGACAAGGCAATAAACAAAAAGTTAGAATGGTGTCCTACATCATCTGACTTTTAATATTAAGAACAAAAATTAAATAGTTTGGTGTCTTTAGCATATGGAGAAGGGGAGGCTACTCGTACACGCAAAAGATTGCATGTATCTTATCCTCTATATTGATTTTCGTGTTAGTCTTTCTATAAGTGTGACAATATTTTGCTTAAGTCTAGATCTACATAATGTACATGTACCAATTAATGTTCCTACAATATCTGAGTATTCCGCGTGATTTATCGGCACCAGTGGTGGATTTAGATAGGGACCAGTGTATCTAGTCCCTATTTTTTATTTTTTTATTTAAAAGGACAACTGTAAGACCTTTTTTTACCTTCTGCCATTATTCATTGAGCTTCCTCCTTTCAAAAACCATTACTTTGCACCCATCTCAGAATAGGAGACAGCTGCTGGGATTTCATCATAGAATACAAAGCTGAAAACGGATATTTCAGTTATTCTCAAACAAATGAAATATTTACGTCGGTTGAAATAAGCTTAGAAGTGTATTGACCAATAAGCGTATACATGTACATAAACCATTGTCCATTGAGAAAGTCTACACTCCACAATGGCAGATCTGAGAGTTCAGAATAGAGGAGGTCCTCATTCTTGTGAAGTTATGCCTGTGTATACACCTGATAAACAATCCGAAGACCATGTGCGAGTGCCGAAGGCGTTTAGCTCTCCTAGAGGGCGTGCCAACTATCTCAACTAAAACGTATTGTATTGTAGATATATTGTAGATGCAAATGAATTGGACGATTGTCATTTGGTTTGTGAGATATCTTCTATAATGAATATATATCTTTTAAATTTTGACTTTTTAACCTAAGATTTTGCAGTTAAGAGAGGGAGAGACCTCTTCTGCTTTCGCTTCGCATTGTCGTAAATCTCAATTTTGTAATTAAAGCTAACTGATATACGTAGGCTCAAGTAAAAGGGGGCATCCCTGAAATTTTCATTAATACTTCTGCAAATAATCTACACAAAAAAAAACTTTTGTTTTCTTTAACGTACCAGTAAGGTAATGACGTCCGACTCGTCAAAGTCCTGAGGTATTAATGTATAGCATACCGCCAACAAAGGCTTTAAAAGAACAAGTGTGTTTTGTGTATGTAAATGTCACATTATATGGGAGACGATTACATGTTATTTGTTTGGAGAATAAATGTATTTTTCAATATTTTAAGAAATATGTGTGCCTTATTTCTTCAATGTCTGATCACCTAAACAATCAGTGAGAAGGCTAACCTATACAGTACTAGGTATAGTGTATGGCCCGTGTACAAACTCACACATCTCATTCGCACTATGTACCCATGACATATAGGTTATCATGTATAAATGGTGATATAGCATCGGCGTGAATATTTGAGATGAACAGGAGATAATTAAGATAAAGATCACTTAAAAAAAATCCATTTCAATCTTTTGTAGTCTCGCTCACTCTATCGCAAGTTAGATTGAGGTTATATATATATACATAAAGCAAAATTCTCAACAACGAGTCTTTAATACTTTCACCTCGTCAAGTCTGTTTATTTGAAGTAGATATTATGACGTCATAAACTATGACGTCACATAATAATTTGCTATTCCGTCTTTACGTATTGCAGAGTTATCTTCTCTTGTGAGCAGGTATTGCTTGTTACGTCATTGGTTTGTGTGAGAAAATTACGTCGTTTGCTCAAAAATCGATGATATTACAATCACAAACAAATGACGTAACAATCAATACCTGCTCCCAAGAGCAGATAACTCTGCAATACGCAAAGACTGAATAGCAACGTCCGCTCATAGGCACTTGGCGCTTTGTTATGTCAGAATATATTTTTTTTATATAAAGTGTACTTTTTTTTTTCAAAATTATTATCTGAGAATTATTTGAATAAAAAAAAGAAATGACAATTTTTTTTTATTTTTTTTGTAATGTACATGCATTCGAACCAATGAAAAGGTAAATAACTACAGGGATGCAAATTTTGACAGAAATTGACCAAGTCCGTTAAAATCAGCATATCTAAAAAAATACGCAAGCAATTTTCGATAACGAACGTCCAACTTACAGGAAACATTCCCAGCTTTCCATTGATATATAGTTGAAGGATATAGTCCAATTATTAAGATCACGGCGTGCTTCCACACTCCGAATTTCACCGGATATTTGTAGGTAGGACACTTCCCTGATACCGGTAAACACCACAAAAAATCATTTGTCTATCGCCTTCCGTCGATCTCCTGTGCACATAAAAATGACATACAGCGAAGGAACTTACCTGAGATTATCTACGACATCGATATGAATGTACATCCCATTGTTTCCGTATAATCACGCCAGAAAAATTAAGCGGGCTCACATTTGAACAAAAATTAGCCATCTTGTTGTTGTGTCTTGTCCTCCTTTCGTATAGGAGCTGTCCAGGGATCCTGGAGAGTGATTGGTATATCATATATGGATTAAAAAGTCATAAAAATCACTATTTGGGTTGGTCCATTAAAATTCACGATATGTATCCAATAAAACAGGAACAATGTCCCTCACCACATGCACAGGTACACGGTACTCCGGAGTCTGGAGATTTTAAAAGTTATTTACATTAGTATAAGATTTCTTAAAACTGGATCGTGGGCTGCTTGAATTGCTACACTACTTGCAGTGGCATAATGTCTTAAAAATGCTTAGACAGTTAAAAGCTAAAAGCTAGATATAGTCACTAAAAGCATTTAGAGAGCACTAAAGAGCACTACAAGCGGGTATTAAAACACAGCAAGCGGTATGGTAAAAGCCCTGAAGCAAGTCCACTAGAAGCGTGCGGTTAAGAATGTTATAAGTTAAAAAGACAGTTTGACGTAACACTGTACACTTTAAAAACAAATATAACTCATAGCTTGTTGTTCCTTCCCCTCCCCCTGTAATTTGGATTACAGACCGGATGATTTAACTTTCCACTTTATAGGGACTCACAGTTCGTGGTGCCTACACACAGCCGCGAGCTGATAGTATTTCAGCCCGTTTGAGGTGGATGGAGTAGCAGAGGTTGCGCGAAAGTCTCTCCAACTCTGTTGTGTTCCTACGGTTGAGGGTTACGTGCCCTTGCAGTGTTTTTGATGTTGGGTCCAGAAGAAGCTGTAAAAGTAGGTTGTTTGCCTTGATGGTTTCAGTAGTGCCCCTTCAACCAATTCTCTCTAGTAGGTCCTCAATTTTTTGCATGTGTCCGATTCTTGTAGACTCCAGCATTTGACATCGGAGTAGGAAATTGCTATTGTCCTCTTCCTCTTGCATACACAACAAGCAAGTCGTATCAACACTGTTTTTGTTGAATTTTGCCGCTCTGCATTGGAGGTTGTATGTGCTGGTGGCAAGTCGAGCTTTAATTTCAGCTGCCTTGACGTCTCTTGGTGACGTTCCGGTACTGGCCCAGATGTTGTGTGCCTTATACAGAGGTTGGTCTTGTATTTGGAGGTAGATTAAACGATAAATTGGAGGCCATCTTGGCCGGCCAAACATACTTTAAAAGACGGCATCTGATTGGTCGAGCTATTTTTCAAAGATGGCTAATTTTTGTTCAAATTTGCATCCCTGTAGTTATTTACCTTTTCATTGGTTCGAATGCATGTACATCAAAAGTTAGCAGGAATAATTTGTCACGGTGACACCATCATGGCATTATGTCATTACTGTTTAAAGTTATATTACGATACTGTAACTGAAAGAATTTCACATTGTGACCAAAAATACTGAAGTAAGAGACAAATTATGGTTCTATCTAATAAGGATGTTAGATATATGAAAACAAATCACGTTTCTTGTATCTTACCATTCACATTATATTACCGGACATGCACCGAGAAAAGGATAGCCAATGATTTGCGACATTAGCATTTTTTGTATATTTATACATGTATACTTTATCAGATTTGAGTAATACTTAATTGAGTAGTGAAATAAATTATGAACTTTCTTTTTAAAATATTTAATATTTCAGACTTTAAGTAATAACACGTTGTATCAAATGTTAAAAAAGTTCTGAAAATCACTTGATTATATATTTGAGTATCGATGTCAATTACAACGTACACATTCTATTTAAATTGAAGAATAACGATATTATAACGATAAATATTTGTACAACTTTTCCAATGCTTATTTTTAATATTAATGGATACTTGAATGTAGCTATATATGCTGTTAATGCAATCTTCTTGTTTGAGGAAATACAGGACTTGGCTAGAATTGAACAGAAACAGTAATCACGGGCACACGCTATAATCGACCATAACATTGTCTTATCCCGTAAATTAACACACGAACTACTGCTTTGTTGAGATAAAACATTACAAAATTTTAATTATGCATTTTCACATAAAAAAAAATAACGGTATATTCGACCATAAAATGGTCAGATCCTTTAGTTTGATACATAAACTATTGCTCTGTTGAGCTTTAAACATTACACAATTTCACTAATGCAATTTTTACATCAAATTAATTGTTTCATCGATCATCAAATAGTCCGATCCTGCCCCGATTATGCATGCCCGATCATGTAAATCATAAGGACAGTCATTAACATGACGTAACTAGACTTAGAGATGACGAAATAATTTGTGACGCCATGATTTCATGAATTATTGGCAATATGATACACTTGATACTGAATTCCTGCTCACTTCATAACTAGATACATTTTTTCGAGGGTAGGCCATATTTCTTGATATATTAAATTAATAGTCGTATGATACCTAAATACAACTTGAGTTATGGTTCTTTGCATTGTCAAGCACGGTTAGTGAAATGTTTGTTTGACAGGGTGGCAAACGGAAAGCTATGCAAAAAGAGAAACTACGTTGAATGTACGTAGCCAAGGACGCTTTATTTCGCGGGAGGATCTTTTACTGATTTCGATTTATTGAAAATGGCAGGTGCAAAACCATTTGTTGACAGTAAGATAAAGCAGCGACCTGTTTTATTGTTTTCTAAGAAGTATTCCCCGGAATCTAAAATGGTAAAGGAGATCATGGACGGATACAAATTGACAAACAAAACCTACGAAGTAGTGGAAATTGAAAACCGACAAGATTGTAACCAAATCGAGGACTACTTCCAGATTATTTGTCTCACAGATAGGCGAGAGGTGAGCGTTGTTTATTGTTCCAAATATATATCACATGTGGCTGATAATTAAGACTTAATGTATTTTGCACATGAACCTGATTAGCTGCGATAATGTAGCTTTCTGACGACGAGACATTTTTGATATATTGCGTCGTCAGAACCCTGCCCAAGTGGAGAGTAGTGAGGGTATAAATATTCGTCCTAGAACCTGATAAAACATAATATCAACCTTCTACACAGCTAGATATTTATGCCTTAACACAGGGACCTGATCATTAAGAAATATACTATATTAAGACCATTTCTTATGTGTGCATACATTGTATGTTGTTAATAGGCTAGAAAAGGACGTATATCAACTTTCAGACACATGAAAAATTTAATTGTCATCCCTGATATATGCAGTCTTCAAATGGTGATAGGAAATGTATCGGGTCAAACTCTTAAGTTAAGAACTCAACAGATCATGTACGTAATATAGGTATGAATTAGTGTAATGTACACTTTCGCTCTCTGCACCCCTGGAATAGGCCATAGCCAAATCAAAGGCATGTTTTTAGGCTATTCGATTGGTCTCAGGTAAAAAAACCTGACCAGTAAAAAAACCTGACCAATCATTAGGCTGATACCTGGGTTATTTTAAGATAACAGACGAGCAATGCCTGACTTTAAAGCCAGTTAGTACTGTTACGCGACCGCAAGATTCTTTTGATGTACATCAAAGGATCAAACTAGTCTTCTTGTCATATCAACAAGGTGGTGCACACTGAGCCCTCAATTTTGTCATGACATATTCCAGGGGTGCAGAGAGTGAAAGTGAGCATAACCCCTGGATATTGAGGATGGTGAAAGTGTAGTAGGACGAGGAATAGTGATAAAGATAGTGCCGTTGCTGGGGCTCGAACCTGCGACCCTTCGCTCTCCAGTCCGATGCTCTACCGCTGAGCTAAAGGAAATTCCCTACAGCTGACACTTGTACTTGGCAAACTAATCAATGCACATTTTTACAAAAGCTTTGAGTGCTACATTTTATACCTTGTACCTTAAAGTAGCAATGCACACATGATATACATGGAACTCTTCAGTGTTACCATATCATTATCAATACATAAACTTTCATTTATCAAACTATGACTTGCAGCTCTTTTACCTGGACAGGAATTTCATTTCACATTTGGTTTTGGTCAAAAAGCAAATTTTATGAACATTAAGTTGTAATTAAAATCAGTCTATCAGAGGTTGAGTCATCAAAAACAAAACACAAAAAAACCTGAAAAGTTTCAGCTATTTTTACAAATCCGGGTGCTTTTTGGCTTCAATTATTTTTATACAAGCATGTTCTGGTTTCCTGTGGCTTAATGAATTTTGAGTAAAAAAAGCCAGACATTTTCAAAGTAAAGGTTGAATGAATTGTAGGCTTTATCTTATTTATCTTTTTTTTATCATTTTTTATGTTTTCCATACTGAAGTACAGTTGTCATATATAAAAACGTATTCATTATACGGTTATATAAATTTAACATGCCTTTAAATACCCCTATAAGGTCCCAACATGCCTCATTGGAATTCATTATAAAAAAAAACCACTGAATAAACAAATCTTGTCTTTTTGGTGGAAGTATTGAAAGACATCTAAATTCTTTTACCTTAAGGTTAATGGTACAACTGATTCAGTTTATGATAACTGCGAAGAAGAGTTTTACTAAAAAAAATCCTTAAATATTCTCCCTTAATATATATATATATAGAAGATGAAACAACCGAACAAAGTTTATAGTTACTTCCCTTGTCAAGTTATGTACTTTTCAACGTTCATTTTCATTTTCATAGACTTTGCTGTCCATATGTTGGTCTCCCAGTGCTATGCCTTTATAATTTCTGGATGGCAACACTGGTTATGTGTAGGATTTGCAATGTTAGCATCCTGCTTTCAACCCCTGTAGATGTTTTGTTTTATTTCTGTTTTCAAACATTCAAATTTCAAACCTCTATGATTCTATGAAATGCATCCCAACATGTGTTTTTTTATGGAATACCTCTTTTAAAAGAACTTAAACTAATATTTCTCAACAGTGACAGTGAAAATAATATAAGATAGCTAATGTTCTCACCTTCTACCTTAAGAAATAAATGCAAAAATTCATTTTTCAAATCAAGTATGAAATATTTTCTGGCAATGTGTTTTAACACTTGAACTTCCTGAGCATACATCTGTAATTATTCAGCACCAACCTTTTTAGCAAAATGGAATAAAAATATATTTTTATTGGCAGAACTTATTTTTCAAACTATTTCAATTGTTCTTGACTGCTCTACATCTTTTTCCAGGTACCCCAACTGTTTGTCAGGGGAAAGTATATTGGTGGCGAGCAGGAGATTAGACGACTTCATGAATCCGGAAACCTCGGCAAAATTCTTATCTCATTAAAACGGTAGAATGTTATTCATCATTATAGAACAATAACAATGGAATAGTCGATCAAAACTCTTTTGCAATGCGTTTCCTTTCCTCTGGAATTAAACACTGAACCAACACTAACGCCAGCCTTGCTATCAACAAGACAAGGCAAAATGTATCACAGAAGTGCCTTCTGCAGATCTAATAACATAAAATGTTAATCTGATTCGTTTACCACATCATGCAGCAGAGCAACCACGAGATGGAGGACCATGTTAAACACTAAAACTGACTTGGCCTAATTGAGAAACTTATTTACTTCCATGTTTTTTTATACTCTTATATTTCCTAATTATTTTGTTTTTACATTCTGTGATATCTGATTGTGCATAATCTATTGACAAAAAACTGTGATAATAATTTTGATATTATTTTCATTTAATTTTTGATTTTTACATTACCTTACATCTGTTTTTAATGAAATATAGATCAATATATTGATTATCTTTGTGTAATTTTGATAATGGCTATACAGATGAATTTATCAATAATGTACTTTCATTGTAAATATTGTGAAAATACTTGAATTTACATCTTGGTCTAATTCTTCAAAAAAGGGAATAACAGAAAATTGATTAACTGTGTTTTAAACAATCAAAGCATTTTAAAGCTATGTTTTTTCTCTTAAATGGATTTTATTTTAATTTTGCAATGGTTTTCTCCTGAGTTATTTCCCTTTGACCGAAACTAGAATGGCAATATTTTATCATCACACATTGGTGGGCAAATATTTTGAATACGACTTTGACAAATTTTAACACCATGGCTTGAAATAAGGAAAGTTGTTTGTTAAACTAAATTTCGGTATTTTACTTGCATAATAATTGAACTTGTTTGTGGACATTTTATAAAGCAATATTGAATAAATATATGGATTACTGTACTTTACAGGTGTTATTCAAATTTCTTTCCATAGAATTACCACCAGTTCTTCAAAGCATTATTAGCTTTACAGAAACTCCAAGCTAGACTTTAATGTGGAATATGTTGACAAATACCTTTAAATTCCAATGGAAATCTGTATCTCTACAGAGATACAAAATCATCAGACTGCATTGTTTACAAATTTTGACTTTGAACATTTTAGTAAATGGTCATAATTATAATCTGGTAAAACTTCCGTCAACAAGGCACTGCTCATGATTGTGATCTCTGTGTTCAGTGTGTTCCTGTTAATGTCATGTGTCAAAGGAACAGGTGATACAAGTGTGACATTAACAGAAACGCTGTCTTTTCTGTACAATTCAAGCAGCTTTTTAATGAAGTATATATACTCTCCATGTGAATATACACCTCTTCAAAAGCTAGATTTTTTGGGCAAAAGTATATACGATTTAAAGAGGGCTTGTTTCCTGATAAAAAACAGACTAAATTAATGCATTATTGAAAGAAAAAGACTGGTTTACGAAATAATTTTAAATACTGAAATGTAACATTAAGCATCTAGACTTTTTGTACATCTACTTGATCATATCCTCACAAGTGTACATCTATTTGATCAAGTCATCATAAGTGTACATCTATTTGATCAAGTCATCATAAGTGTACATCTATTTGATCAAGTCATCACAAGTGTATATCTATTTGATCAAGTCTTCATAAGTGAACATCTATTTCATCAAGTCATCATAAGTGTACATCTACTAGATCAAGTCATCATAAGTGTACATCTACTTGATCAAGTCATCACAAGTGTACATCTATTAGATCAATTCATCATCGATGTACATCTATTAGATCAATTCATCATCAGTGTACATCTATTTGATCAAGGCATCACAAGTGTACATCTATTTGATCAAGTCGTCACAAGTATACATCTATTAGATCAATTCATCATCAATGTACATCTTTTTGATCAATTCATCATCAGTGTACATCTATTAGATCGATTCATCATCAGTGTACATCTATTAGATCAATTCATCATCAGTGTACATCTATTAGATCGATTCATCATCAGTGTACATCTATTAGATCAATTCAGCATCAGTGTACATCTATTAGATCAATTCATCATCAGTGGACATCTATTAGATCAATTCATCATCAATGTACATCTATTAGATCAATTCATCGTCAATGTACATCTATTAGATCAATTCATCATCAATGTACATCTTTTTGATCAATTCATCATCAGTGTACATCTATTAGATCAATTCAGCATCAGTGTACATCTATTAGATCAATTCATCATCAGTGTACATCTATTTGATCAAGGCATCACAAGTGTACATCTATTTGATCAAGTCATCATAAGTGTACATCTATTTGATCAAGTCATCATAAGTGTACATCTATTTGATCAAGTCATCATAAGTGTACATCTATTTGATCAAGTCATCATAAGTGTACATCTACTTGATCAAGTCATCCCAAGTGTACATCTATTAGATCAATTCATCATCAATGGACATCTATTAGATCAATTCATCATCAATGTAAATCTATTAGATCAATTCATCATCAGTGTACATCTACTTGATCAAGTCATCACAAGAGTACATCTATTTGATCAAGTCATCACAAGTATACATCTATTAGATCAATTCATCATCAATGTACATCTATTAGATCAATTCATCATCAATGGACATCTATTAGATCAATTCATCATCAATGTAAATCTATTAGATCAATTCATCATCAGTGTACATCTACTTGATCAAGTCATCACAAGTATACATCTATTAGATCAATTCATCATCAGTGTACATCTACTTGATCAAGTCATCACAAGTGTACATCTATTTGATCAAATCATCACAAGTATACATCTATTAGATCAATTCATCATCAATGTACATCTATTTGATCAAGTCATCACAAGTGTACATCTATTTGATCAATTCATCATCAGTGTACATCAATTAGATCAATTCATCACAAGTGTACATCTATTTGATCAAGTCATCATAAGTACATATATTTGATCAAGTCATCATAAGTGTACATCTACTTGATCAAGTCATCACAAGTGTACATCTATTAGATCAATTCATCATCAGTGTACATCTATTTGATCAAGTCATCATAAGGACATATATTTGATCAAGTCATCATAAGTACATATATCTGATCAAGTCATCATAAGTGTACATCTACTTGATCAAGTCATCATAAGTGTGTATACCTATTTGACCAAATCATCATTAACTTTCTTTCGCTACTTTGCATTTCTTTTCAAATAATGTTTAAGAAATCAAAGGAATCAATCCTCAGTTTTTTTTTAATTATTATTTGTAATCCATTTTTGGCAAACCAAAATGCGAAGAACTGTGTTAGTTGTCCGGTAGGTACAATTGATTTACATGGGATAGACTGCCATATAATTTATCCTTATAAGTGACATTGACTTATTAAACTTAATGTCTAAGCAGGCTGCTTAGAAGGAAGTTGGACAATATTCGGCCTAAATCCGTTTTTAGATCCTGTTCGAGTAAGTTGTGACCGAGCCTGCAGGTAATGTTGTCAGTGGCGATGTCAGCACGGTGATGACCCGAGGGAGCAGCTTTACCAGTACCATAGGTAGCGTCACAGTACCCATATCGTAACAGTACCCAAATCGGGACAGCTGAAGGAAAAACTCACAAGAAATGTGCATCCTGTGCAAAGAAGTATTTTTAAATTGAAAATATTGATTTATGATGCTAATATACCAATGAGACATTACATGAACTGTATTTACTGCCACTTATATATGGTTACAATGAATCACAGTTTAAGTTTGTAAATAGTGACGAAAATGTAACGTTCGAAATTTATGCGCCATGCGACGTTAATGATTTTCAATTTTTATATGTGACTTCTCACAATCCTACTATGTCTGGAAAAGAAACGCATTCAGAACGACCTTGACTCTCAAATGTTCCAAAGATATGCAATGTTCGGCTAAATACCTTTTTCATCTCCAAATATAAGCCAAAACTGGTAGGGGTATCCCGATTTGGGTACTGCTACACCTTTTTCGCGATTACGTAACCATGACTATATTGCCGGTTTTATTTGTAGAACCGCGCGCCGGATATATCGACTTGTTATCAAAATGAAAAGATAATGATATCTATTTAGGAAAAGTGAACAAAAAATACTGGGATCGGTACTATGGTATGAAATACATCATTATTTCACTAAAAAGTGTCCCGATTTGGGTACTGTGACGTTACGTTTAACAGTTGAAACAAAGGCCGAGTTATATAATGACACGAAATATGCGTACACTTGTACATTGATGAATAAAAACGTGTCTGGGAGCAGATCGGCCTCTATACACTTGTATCTACACGTCGATATATCCCAAGCAGGTTCTGAGCCCCTGATTTAATTAGTGAATTTTATGCATGATAACGAAATTATTGTAAACTGTCTTGCAATTGTCTTACCTCACACTAATAAGTAATATGCCTTGTAGGACTAGTCATACATGTACATTCTGGTATAATTGACTGGAGATGACGTATATTTTGGTTTTATTAAGCTCTGTCAGTTTTTGTTGATTATGTTGTTGTAACACTAAATTGTTTGTGATTATGGGTGTTTAAGGAAGGTTAACAACATCTTTACTAAAGGAGGAACAAATGTTGACGTCGCTAAGTACAATGTAAGTTTTCAGTTTGGATAAAACTGTGTAACCGTAATAATTCAATTTAGGTTCAAAAAGTTGGAAATCCAAATTGCATGTTCTTTATGAAACTTCACACAAGTATTTCTGACATCTCTCTGGAGATAAGTTGAAGTTAAGTTCATACGTTTAAGGTCAAGGTTACAGCTACAAAATCTTAAAGTGATGAAGAGGAAATGGGATATTTTTGTATGTCTGCAAGTTCCTGATTATAGTCTCCAAATAAGAATTTCTGACATTAAGCGCTGAAAAACCAATAACCTGATAAATATGTACAGAATCGGATAAAATTTGAACATGACTTGAGAATTCCAAGTACGCAAGTCTGGCTTAAATCAACACAAAAATATCAGGAAAGAATGCGTCGGCCAATCAGAATCGTGGAAGTACCGGTTGTCAACATGAATATTTCAAGTACCGCAAGTAAATCAAATATTTTACCGATTTCCATTAATATTAAGGGGAGGTTATTATGAGATGTCAATATGACAGACGGACGGACGAACTGAAACCAATGTCCCCACTTAAAAAAGGACAAGAGGCCCATGGAGCCTGTATCAATCACCCGTTATTCAATACTGTTTGTAAAAAAAAAACATAGCATCTGTGACCTTCAAAGTGGTGCACGTGAGCTTTGGCGACTGTGTAAATGTAGTAATAAGTCTTGTGGGTTACTGTATTTACGCTGTGACGCATGAACACATTTGCTTTCAATACATGTTAGACATTTCGTTTTATAATAAAGTTATCTAGTGTCATACATCTAATGATGGTCTTATGTGTCAAAATCCGGTTATTTGTATACTATAAAAAACAAACGTGCAAATATGGTCCTTTTCGTAGTCGACTTCCTGTAAGAGAAAGCACGGTCCTTCAGTACAAACAATAAATTTTGTGATAGCAGACAGCACGTAGACCTACACATGACGATACACATGTGCGAACCCTGTTATCACGTAGGTTGCTAGTGATTTAAAATCGAGGTCACTTTCTAGGTCATCCCTCATTGAAATAAGTAACATTGGACAAGCTGAACTGATTGACTGCTGCTAGAAATCCTTCATTTAGGGGCTATGAAGACAGTAGCCGTAATAGGGGCTGGGGCCAGTGGTCTCCCCGCCATCAAATGTTGCCTGGACGAAGGGCTCGAACCGACATGTTTTGAACGAACCGATGACATAGGTAAGTTTATAAACTACGAGATCGCAGAAATTAATCTCTTAAATAACAACAACTTTCATCCGGTTGTCCAATCTTCAAATAATTATTTCGGGGGTGGGGGAACAGATCGGTTTCACTATTTTTAGGTCACCTGAGCTTTGCTCATGTGACCTATTCCAATCGCTTTTCGTCCGTCGTCGTCCGTCGTCCGTCGTGCGTCGTGCGTAAACTTTTACATTTTCAACTTCTTCTCAAGAACCAGTGGATGGATTTTTTTCAAACTTGGTCAGAATCATCCTTGGTAGATGAGGCTTCAAAATTGTAAAATTGGGATTCCTACCCCAACCCCTGGGGCCAGGGCGGGGCCCCAAAGGGAAA